AACTAGAAGGATATGCAGCTATGACATACAGCTATCTACTGGGGCTTTGGGGGAATAAATAAATAAATAAATAAATAAATAAATAAATAAATAAATAAAATAAAGTAGGCTTCAAATAAATAAATAAATAAATAAATAAATAAATAAATAAATAAATAAAATTATAAAAAAAAAAAGAAGTTAAAGGAGTTCATTACCAATGAATTGGCCTTACAATAAATTTTAAAGAGACATCTTTAAGGGAAAAGAAACCATAACTAGAAATAATAAAATTATGAAAGAAAAAAAATCTCACTGGTAATGGCAAACGTTTAATAAGGTAGTGGATCTATATAGCTATACCATCCATATAGCCAGGTTGAAGGTTAAAAGACAAAAGTAGTAAAATAATCTATATCTAAAATAATTACATAAGGGAAACACAGAATAAAAAGATGTAAAATATGACATCAAAACATAAAATGGGGGAAGTTAAAATGTAGTAACTATGTTCTAATTGTAGTTAAAACAAGTTATACATTAATACACAAATACAACATATAAATAATACACAAATACTATATCAATAACATTTTAGAACACACTCAAAATTAAGTGACCATAAACTTAAAATATACTGCTATATACATAGGTTGTTATATATGAACCTCATGATAACTAAGAACCTATAATAGATACACAAAAAATAAAGAGAATGGAATATAAACATAACACTAAAATCATCAAGTCACAAAGGAAGAGAGCAAGAGAAGAAGAAAGGAACTACAATAACAGCCAGAACACAATTAATAATATGGCAATAAGTACACACCTATCAATAATTATTTTAATTGTAAATGAATTAATTCTCCAATCAAAAGACATAGAGTGGTTAACGGGTAAAAAAACAAGGCCCATCTGTATCCTACCTATAAGAGACTCATTTTGGAAGTAAGGACACACACAGACTGAATGTAAAGGGATGGAAAAACATATTCCATGCAATCATAAATTAAAAGAAAACTGGTGTGTCTATATTCATATCAGACGAAATTGACTTTAAAACAAAGACTGTGACAAAAGACAAAGAAGGGCACTACATAATGATAAAGGGGTCAATCCATCAAGAAGATATAACATTTATAAATACATACACACCTGACACAGGAGCACCAAAATATATAAAGCAAATATGAAGGGAAAAATTTAAAGCAATACAATAATAGTAGGGAATTTTAACACCCCACTTACAGCAAGGGATAGATCATCTAGACAGAAAATCAATAAGGAAATATCAGTCTTTAATGGCATATTAGACCAGCTGAACTTAATAGATATATATAGAACATCCCATCCAAAAGCAGCAGAATAAACTTCCTTCTCAAGTGCACATGGAACATTACCCAGGATAGATCACATGTTGGGTCACAAAACAAGTCCCAATAAACTTAAGAAGATTGAATTTATATTAAACATTTTCCCTCATCAAAATGGTATGAAAGGGCCGGCCCCATGGCTTAGTGGTTAAGTGCGCGCGCTCCGCTACTGGCAGCCTAGGGTTCGGATCCCAGGCGCGCACTGATGCATTGCTTCTCTGGCCATGCTGAGGCCACGTCCCACATACAGCAACTAGAAGGATGTGCAGCTATGACATACAACTATCTACTGTGGCTTTGGGGGAAAAATAAATAAATAAAAAAATTTTTAAAAAGGGTACGAAACTAGAAATCAATTACAATTAGAAAACTGGAAAAAATACCAAAAAATGGAGATTAAACAATATGCTACTGAAAAACCAATGAGTCATCAAAGAAATCAAAAGAGAAATAAAAAAATACTGAGAGACACGTGAAAACAAATATGATATACCAAAATCTATGAGATGTAGCAAAAGTGATTCTAAGAGGGAAATTCTCATAGCAAAACAGGCCTACCTCAAAAAACAAGAAAAATCTCAAGTAAACAATCTAACTTTACACCTAAAGGAACTAGAAAGAGAAGAACAAATGAAGCCCAAAGATAGTAGAAGGAAAGTAAAAAGAAAGATCAGAGAAAAATAAATGAAATAGAGACTAAAAAAACAATGAAATTAAAAGCTGCTTCTTTGAAAATGTAAACAAAATCTCAAACTTTTAGCTACACTAACCAAGAAAAAAATAGAGGGGGCTCAAATAAACAAAATCCAAAATGAAAGATACCAACAGATACCACAGAAATACAGAGTCATACGAAACTATTGTGAACAATTATACACCAAGAAGTTGGACAACCTAAAACAACGTGGATAAATGCCTAGAAACATACAACCTACCAAGACTAAATCATGAAGAAATACAAAACCTAAATAGATCAATTAGTAGTAAGGAGATCAAATCAGTAATCAAAAACCTCCCAAAAAACAAAAGTCCAGGACCAGACAGCCTCAGTGGTAAATTCTTCCAAACATTCAAAGAAGATTTAATACTTACCCTTCTCAAAATCTTCCAAAAAATTGAAGAGGAGGGAACATTTCCAAACACATTTTACAAAGACAGGATTACCCAGATACCAACACCAAACAAGGACATCACAAAAAAAAATTACAGGTCAATATCCTTGA